GGGGAACTCTGTGGAAAAATGGACAGAGGGTCATTTTTTCATTAACCTTTCATATGTCTCCCTTAATATCTGAAAATATAGGAAGTAACTCAGTACTCCTTCAGCCATCTAAAATTATACTGAATCTAATTGGGTTTCTAGGTACTTTGGAAGATTAGGAGCTGAAGCTGAATTGGCAGTAGATGGCAAACTGCCAGAACAAAGTCAAACGTGCCATTCTCAAAGCTTTGAAAACATTTTAAAAGGAAAGTGAGGGAGAGGGGTACAAAAGGCCCCTGTGGAACTGCTTGGAATTGTAGTGAAGACTAGAACTAACCAGCAGTGAAATGTGGGCGACTGATTTCTTTCAGATGAATGCGTATCGGGGGGGGGGATGCTCCCACCCCGGATGAATAATAATTCCCAGCTTTCATTTCTTTAAAGAAAAAGTTTCTAGCATATGTTGAATGTGAGAGAGGAGTCAAAATGTACAGGTACTGTTCTTCTCATTTTTGTGTGTGTGAAGGAATCTAGCCTTTTCCATCCTTTTCAGTGCTTTACCCGCTCCCACCAAAAAATTCACATGGATGCCCATGGACAGATGTAGGCAGGGTTCCCTGCCCCCCATACCATTTTAATATAATGAGACCTTAAAGAGAGTGGACGAATAAAATGGAAAGTATAATATTTTAATCAATTGGTTTTATACCTGGTGTTAGCCGCCCTGAGTCCGGTCTTGGCTGGGGAGGGTGGGATATAAATAATTTATTATTATTATTATTATTATTATTATTATTATTATTATTATTATCATCATCATCATCATCATCATCATCACTGTGATAAGCACTGAAAGTGTATGCATTTGCAGATACAGGCCTTTTGGAAGGAAAGGGGAGACAAACTAGAACATCAACTGGCTATGGTATTCCGGCTCACTGCTTCTTTAGTACAGTGTTGAGTTTCTATGCAGCTCTGTGCATCTGTTGCTGGACTTAGTTTTAAGATCACACTTTTGAATGGTTTCTCTATCTGCGGAAGCCATGTTTGGTATGCTGCTGTGACAATGTTTCCATAAAAAGATTAGGCACCTGTTCCCTCCGATATGTATTCCCAAGTGTGTTTGGAGCAAGCAGCTTATGCCATTCAATGCTGTCTTGGTTTCGCCAACCTTTCTGGAATGTTCCTGAGGAGAAGAGAGTTCAGTATATTTCCAGGGAGACCTTTTTCTCCCTGTGGCCATTGCAGGCCTTCAGGTAACCACTTCACCAAAACCCACCGATACCACCTTCCCAACTGCACCTACATGCTGTAAGGAATATCCAGTTTTTTAAAAAAGAGAGGGGAAAAAATTGTAGTGAAGGATCTTACAGTTAAGATGTTCTAGGGTATGGACCAATTTTGCTATGCAGTCCTCTTGTAAAACCATCTGTTGAATGGCAGTATATAAATATAGAAAACGAATAATGTGTAAGAAACTCCAGACAAATAGACACACTAGTCTGTAACAGTAGGAAAACCAAAAGGCCCCCTGTCACCATAGCAACTTCATGACACACCATTCTATACACTTTGACAGGCAACAGCCTACTTCATTAGATGAGCAGCTGGACTGAGAATTGTGGTAGATGCATAGAAATAAAATGTCAGGGTTGTTTACATCTGTCTGTCTTGGGCAAGCGTGCCAGCTTGCTCCCGTGATTTAGCAAGTGTGTGAGTGAGGTGAGCACATTGCATGGCATGTGCACACAGCCACCACATAGTTTTGAGGGGTCCCGGCCCCCTCCTTGAAAAGTAGTGTCTGGCATTTTTCTCAATGTGGTGCACTTGAAGGCACATGAAAAGAGATGTTGGGCATCTTTTAAAAAGCAACAGTAGCAGCATTCGTCTAAATTGGCAATAGTTTATGCCCCATATGAGAAAAGTAATATATCAACATTTCCATCTTTCACAAAGTATCAATTGGTGTGGGTGGAATTATTTAAAATTCATATTGGACAAATACGATCCCTATCCCTTTTGCACGCTAATGTGCTGTTCTAAGTCATGCATCGTGACATCTTCAAAGAGGCCAGTCATAATTATGATGGATTAGACTGCAGAATTGGTCCTAGATGTAATCATTGTTTCGCAGATGCTACTGATGTGCCATGAATTTCTAATAAACTATGGCTGGCCGTGTGTGTGTGTGTGTGTGTGTGTGTGTGTGTGTGTGTGTGTGTAAGTAAAGCTGATAAGTATATTGGCTGGAGTTCAGTAACTGAAGGGGGCAGGAAATACAAATTACTATACTTGGGGAAAGACTCTGCTTTGGAAGAGGTACAATTTACTTCAAACAAAAGGGGAAGGGATTTGTCCAGCTATTTGCAGATTGCTAATTCTCCATTTTGGAAAGAAAATAAATATATTGAGCAGTGACCCAACTGCTCAATATATTGGTAGTGACCCAACTCCAACAGAAATCCTTCCCCTTCTCAACCCCTGAATTTTATTTATTATTTACTTGTGTGTGTGCACATGCATGCATGTGTGTAAACACACACACACACAGAGACACGCATATGCATGCACTATAAGTAGTTTATAGACAACAAAAACATGAGACAACTTAAATATTACAAAAATACAGTTGCATTAATAAAAATATTAAAGTATTAATAAATATGAACCAAAATCAATTTTACATCCTTCTGACACACCTTTCTTCTCGGCCGCCTGGTTTCTACCCACCCACCCAGGGCCCAAACAAACCCATAGTTCACCCACAAAAATCTCACAAAGGGTGCCTGGAAACTGTTAACATCGCCCCTAGTCTCTAACTCTAGCCTTGGTGTTTGGGGTGGATGGGGCTTCCTACAGCTGTGTCCTATTCAGCAGTCAGCTACACTTTCTGTTAAGTTGTGGACGAACATATCAGATGACACAGCAATTCTTCCAAAGCAGCTCTTTATTTGTAAGCTGGAACAGAACTAAACTGAGGAGCTCAGTCAGCCTGCTTATATAGAGCTCCACTAGAATGCAACAGTAACCATTTTCTGTAACTAGCCAATCACCGAACGTCACTTTCGATCCTTCATTTGCATACGAACTATCCAATCATTTAACGTCACTTTCGATCCTTCCTTTGCATAACTATCTACAGTATCCTCCTGCTGGCTCAGGGTGAGAACTTCAATACATAACACTTTCCATACCTGGGTCCTGCAGGTCTAGTGAGTTTCCCACAGGGTCCCAAGGATGCGAAAATAACATCCCTCCACTCTGTTCTTTCTCTGGCCTCTGCCCACTTCTCTTCCTCCAGCTGCTTTCTTGTCCCATGAAGGACAGTAAAGTGGGGATCTATTTAGGATTATTTTGTATTGCCATGCTTACCATACCATACAGATGTGCACTGTATGAATGCAATTCAGAATTTTGAGCTTGTGTGGGAATTGTTGGAATGAAAGCTTGCACTTGCAGAGGGACATACTTCGATATTTACAGTTCTACCTCCACCTATGGTTTGTCTTTATGGCCCAATATTAGATAAAGGGCACAAGTGAAAAAAATTAATGGGATTTTTTTTGGGGTGTGGAATGCCTCACCCCAGCTCACTTATTAAATGCAGAGATCTAATACAGAGGACTTTCTAAGACGTTTTGGTTTTTTCTTCACATGTGGTCATTTTAGATAACTGCAAAAAATTTGAATTTCTGTTTTCTTCTACTTTTTACATTACAAGGCAGAAATAACCATGGAAAGTGGAGCACAGCATTCAAACATCACACAGAAAAGGGAGCAAGCAATCTTGTTCTACTGCTGCAGTCTGTGTAATAGGTGACATTTTCAAAGAGTGGCTTTGCTGCTGCAATCATTGCATGCAAATATCCTGTTTTAATAATTCAAGCAGGTGTTAATTAATCATACTGAAGCGTTCACATCCCATTTCACTAGCAGCAGTGTTTTTAATGACAAACTTCACATGATTTGAAACTCGGCTTGTCCCAAGATGGAGCTCACAGACCTCCAAATAGAAGAAGAGCTCTGTTGGATCAGGCCAAAGGTTCACTAGTCCAGCATCCTGTTCTCCCAGTGGCCAGTCCAATGCCTATGGGAAGCCCACACACAGGGCCTGAGTGTAGCAGTGCTCCACCTCAACATCAACTGTGATTCTCAGCAACTTGTATTCAGAGACATACTTGGGACTTTGAATTCTCTGTGGGTGCTCTTGTAAGCTTTGATGTTGGAACCTCAGAATGCTCAAAGCTGTTTAGTGCTGTCTTCTCCCCTGATGAAAGAGGGAACATCTGTCCAGCTGTGTTCACTGCTTTTGAGAGTGTATATATATATATATTTTTTAAAAAATCATCTGTTCAGTCTCAGAGCTGCTGAGTTCCATTATAGCATTGATTGTAATATAACTCTTTTGGAAAGAGAGCTTGCGATTCTTAGACTGCTTCTAGAGTCTTCCCATACATGTTGCTATTCTCCAAGAAAGATGCACAGCTGTATATGCACACCTTTTTCTTCCTAAAAAGTAATGGGAAATGTCTGTGCATCTTATGGAGCAAATGCGTGGGCCCTGGATTTTTGCATTGGGTCACCCCAAATTCACCATCAGATCGCATAGCATGTCCATGGCTATAGCCTGCACCAAAAAAATCACACATCCACTGTTTCGGTGGGCCTCAATGGTGCAAAAATGTGGTTACAAAGCATGGATCCACATGGATCCTCAGGATTTTTGCATTGGGTCACCCCAAATTCACCATCAGATCACATAGCCTGCACCACAAAAATCACACATCCACTGTTTTGTTCAGAATATTTTTTTTCTTGTTTTCCTCCTCTAAAAACTAGGTGCGTCTTATGACGCGAAAAATACAGTATACCCCAGCACTTTTAGACTGTCACAATTTCCATGAGGCTCTTGATCTAGGAAGGGAAAGTGCGTTAGATGAAGTGCTTAATTGCCATCTGGGTTTGTGTAGCGTGCATCAAATAAACATGGATTTTCCCCCCTTCCCCATTCTCTCTTTCAGATACAATAGGAGGGCAGCCTTGTGGATGGCCCCAGAGTAGGCCAGATGGAACAGGATAGAACCAGCCATGTTGAAGGCAGTAGTTTGAGCCCATTTCTAATACCACATCCTTCTCATGTTTGCCAGGGAGAGCCTTTGTCAGTGAAGCTACAGAATGGGAGCCCACCAGCAGAGAAGGGCCAGGTTGAAGTCAATGGCGACCACACGTGGCTGCATTTCAAGGCCAACTATGGAATGAAGCACACTGTCAGAGGAAATGCAAATAACAGAATAAGCCCAGACCTTCTGCAAGAAAAGAGAGACTGTGGCAGGTATATGCAAAATGGTGGGATAAAACGCACTTTCAGCGAGCCTTCTCTGTACGGGCTTCACCAGAACAAAAAGCTTAGACAAGATGAAGAAGCAAAAGGAGGGAAAGAAACCTCTTTGGATGGCAGTGATCAACCGAGTGTTCCCAATTCATGCAGCAAGGAGGACTTGGTGGGTTTTAGAATGGAAGAAGGTGCAGCTTCAGTTCTCATACAGTCCTCCAAAAACAATCGTGGTGCTTCAGAAACTCCTCCTGCTCCCCAGGTTCAGAATGAACAGGAGAGCGAAAACATGAATTGCCACAACAGGGACATTGCCTTGCTCTACAAGAGCAAGGCGGTGTCAATGCCTAATGGTGCTATAGTTTCTGCCTCTTCTATGGAAAACATGCATGGTGAACTCCTTGAGAAAACGCTGTCTCAGTATAATCCAGATCATGTGTCCATTGCAATGCAGAAAACCACATCTCTTACAAATGCCATAAACACACAGGCTACTAATGAATCGACTTGTGGCACACCACATTCATCCCATACCTCAGGGCAGATCAACTCCCCACAAACCTCAAACTCTGAGCTGCCTCAGGTGCTAGATTCTGTGGCCACTGAAGTCCACAGCACAGAAGACGGCAGTAAGATATCCACATTGCCAGCCTGCTACACTTTTCAGAAACCAGAACTGCAATTGGAGCAGCAAAAATCCGAAAATGCATGCCAGTCCCCTACAGAGAATACTGATGTTCCAGGAAACATGGGGCAGGTTCCCAGTCAAGATTTCTCACTGCCCAGTCAAGATTTCTCACTAAATCCCAACAGCAATATGAAAGCTCATAACAATAGCTCAGAGAGACCAGCAGAGCCAGCAGAGGAAAATGGTGCTTTGTTCCAACAAGACCCCATGTTCAAGAAGAGTTATTTCACCCCACCTCCTGTTGCAGCTTCTTCTCCTCTTCCAGAAATAAACAGCATTCTTTCCATGAGTGTTTCAGAAGTGCATAACCATTATGAGACCCAAAGTCAAGAGACTCATTTGAAGAAAGAGAAGAATGGAGAGCAGCAGCAAGCAGCAGGGGGAGCTTGCAGCACAAATTCCTGGCCTTTGCCAGCAAGCACTTAGTTCTCAACAGGGTCTTCAACAAGAGGTTCAGGTTTCACAACAGACTGGCAATGAAACAAGAGATCTGATGCTTTCTGCAATGGCATCAGGCATCAGGCAACAATATCCTGATGAACTGCAGTCAAAACTGGAGCCGCAGGTTCAAGACACAGAAACAGTAGGAAGCAGTAAAGAGTTGCAACAACATTATCAACATCTCCTGGGCCAAATTAACCAGGAGACCGTAACTAGCAATGAAAAAGACTTGGTGAAAAATCAGGTGCATCAGTCACACCCTCACTTGCAGACATCTTGGACAGGAATATCTTCCCCTCACTTTCGCCCCAGTGAGTCTCCCCAAAAATCAAACGAGGTGCTCTTAAGGACAATGCTTCAGCTTCAGTCAAATTCAGCTGATCAGACCCATCCAAAACAATATCCTGGGAGCCCCAATGCATCAAAGGAGGTTACAGGGCAAACTTGCTTCCAGAACATCACACAATGTGAGCAGATACCAGCACTGTACAAGGGTGAGGCAACACAGCTGCCACCTCATCTTACAGCTGAGAAGCAAATGCAATTCCAAAAGCACTCACCACAGCCTACAAAGATGGATACTATGCTCAAATCCCACGAACAGCAGCAAAATGCAAAGCACTTCCACTTTCAGCCGCAAGCTGAACACCACACTGAACAGTCCCTGGAGTCACAGATGAAGCCACAGCACTTAAATCTTCCACCATTGGAAAATGAACAGTTCCTCCGTTCACATATATTGCAACAGATGCTCCAGACCCAGCCAACACAGTTGCCACACAGTCCACAGCTAACCATGGGCTCCCAGCAGCAATCATTGCACATGAAGAGCAGAGAACTTCCTCAGACCTTTCCTCATTCCCAAAACAGACAAGAGCAGCAGCTAGAGGGGGCATCTTTCAGTCAGCTTAAATTGGAAGAATGTTTTGAAACTGCAAACAATTACTTCAAATCAACTGACTTCCCAATGCAAAACTCCCAGGTCAGGCCAGGACCGGTGTCCGATATGAACAGTAAAGATTCCCTTTACAATCATGCTTTCAAAGCAAATACTGTTATGAAGCATTCCTACTTGAACAACATGCACTTAGTCTCTGAGAAAAAAGAAAACCCTATGAACACTGAGCTCTTTGCAGAAAATGTAACTCATGACTTACAGCATATGCAATATTACACACATAGTATGGCCCCCAAACAAGATGTGCCCCATTGCTTTCAGGAAGAAGCTTCCCAGTCTCCACCAACTTCAGCTGGACAACTACCCTTCCAGCAAACACAGGGATATTCTAATTTGACCAGCAACATGTGTAGCCCACAATCTGCCCAGATTCAGCAAAGGTACGTACCCTACAGTCAGCAATCGGCGTCCCATGCAGGAGTTGATCAGAGAGGCTGCCATCTTCCAACTCAACCTCAAAGGGATTTTCAGAAGCATGCTGCTCTCAGGTGTCACATCTTAAACAGGCAAGAACAACAAAACAAATCTGACACCTGTCACGGTGTAGGACACAAGCCTATTAAAGCGGAAGCTGGCTCCAAGTTGAATGTCTGCACCCCTCCATCAGCTGGGCAGATGGAGAACAAAGCGTGGAAAAAAACAATTAAACAAGAGAGTCAGCACTTTGGTTGTGAGAACATGCAACAAAAGAGTATAATCGAAACCATGGAGCAGCAGCTGAAACAGTTTCAGGTCAGAACACCCTTTGATCACAAGTCCCTTACTATCAAATCACCGAAACATGTGAAAGTTGAAACTGTGGGACCCATCACTATTCTGTCAAGGAATTCCGCCGCTGCAGATTTCAACAGCCACGCAGCCTCTTTAGATCAACAGCCCATTCATTCCATTGAAAAAACACCAACCAAAAGAACGGCTGCTGGAACAGCTCTCAATCATTTTTTAGAGTCACCTTCCAAGTTATTAGATACTCCTGTGAAAAACCTACTGGACACACCTGTCAAAACTCAGTACGATTTCCCATCTTGTAGCTGCGTTGGTGAGTTGAGTTTGATGTTTCAGAGTTTGTTTTTAAATGAATACAATAATACCATTCTGCTATAATTTTCCAAGCCCAGCCAGCTCCCTTCCTCACGTCACCCTCCTCCCCTTTCTCCTACAGGGAAGACTTCCCTTGTCTTCTCAAATAAATGTCCCAAACTGCATTTCTCAGTTCGCAGGTTGGAATTTCTTATCCATAAAATTATAAGTATCTTAGGCTCTTGCAGTTCCAGCCACTCTGTCCTTCAGTTTCCTTCATGGAAAATACTGTGAGTTGAATGATGCTATACAAGATGTGGTTGGCTATGGATTCATCCTGACTCCATTCTCCACTTTGCTTTGGGAGTGGTTTATGGTGTCTAGATTTCCCCACAATCAAATATGGGCATAAAAAGATGGCTGGTTTGTTACATTCTGAGCACATTATATGGGTGTGATTGGACAAGGTGAAGGCAAATGTGGAGTTGAGATTCTTGCAGGTATGATTTCTCCTCTGAAGGTATCGCCTGAGCAAGGCCAGAAATGCAAGATGATTTCCTAGGCAAACAGAATGGAAAACTGTCTCTTTGAAATAACCCGTGCAAGTAAAATGAGGAAATTGCATCTAGTTTTGTCGTGGTGAATTAGGACACTGGAAAAGTGTTGTTGCAGAATGACTTAAGACCAAATTGCACATAATAAAGATAACGTCTTCATAAAAGACCTTTGGCCTAGCACCACAAAGGAATAGAGGTGTGATTTAATGTATTAAATAAGTGCATGGTCTGAGGGTTCTGAATCCTCCATTTGTGGTCCTTCCCTCTACAGCCGCTGCCCTTTTCTCAAGGTGGGCTCTCTCTCTCTGTATTGGCATCTGGCTATGGAGTAGAGAAGAGCAGCAGGACATTTAGCATCCTCTTCTACTGTACACCCCTTTGGTATATCCCCATGCCCCATTTTATTTGAAACATTTCAAGATGCATGCAATTTGGGCCTGAACAGTCGTCCTCCATGTATGCACCACAATGAGAATAATGGACACAGATGCATGAGAATCTTTCAACGCATAGTACTAAACTTTGCTCTGCCTTTATAGAACTGGTCACACTGAGGCATTTGCATTTTCAACAGATGGTTTTAAAGGAATTTATCTGAACCGCAATTTACCTTTTTAAAAAATTTAATAACTGAGCCTTGGGGTGCATATATAGATAGCAGGAACTGCTGCAAAGCTAAAAGGCTAATACTATCAATGAAAATCTAGACTCATTTCCAACCTTTATTTATGGTCGAACCAGATGTTAATAAAGCAGGAATGGGGAACTTGTGGCTCTCCAGATGTTCTTCTTGGACTTGAGCTCCCATTAGCCCGAGGCGGTGTGGCCAGTGATCAGGGAAAATGGGACTTGTAGTACAGCAACATATGGAGGGTCATAGGTTTCTTGGCTATGTAATAAAGGGATTTTACCTTCCAATATTTCTGCACCAAAAAAGCAATAAGCAGAGGTGCTGACATATCAAAAGTCGAGAATATGCCCTATCTGATTTTCTTCCATTAGCTATTCCACAGCAATAACTTTTATTGATTCCTGATGGTAACGGGAACAGAGAAAATCCTAATTGACCCCTATTACAGTAACCGTATTAACCATGCCTTATATAAAAAAAATCGTTCATCTGGCATTATGCATTAGAACTGCCCCAAATATTGCTCACTCTCTTGTTTGGTACAATAATTCCCTATTTGCATTTTTTTAAAAAAAAAAAAAAACAATTCCCAAGTGAAAATAGTAACTCTTCCCCTAGCCCTACTATCAGTCCATGAATGATCTGGAGCACAGATGACCTGCCAAGAGTCTTTGGGGTTGGTTTTACTCATATGTGTAGTGCAAACAGGTCTTGTTACAGATTTCATTTAGAATGCAGATTTTCATTTAGCAAAATATGTGTATAAGGTGAACCTATGCTTTACTATGTAATATCTTTTAAAGACATCTTCAAAAGCATACAGCGTTAACCTTTTTGTTTGTTTGTTTGTTTGTTTGTTTTTAAACAGAACAGATTATCGAAAAAGACGAAGGCCCTTTCTACACCCATCTAGGAGCCGGCCCTAATGTGGCTGCTATTAGAGAAATAATGGAAGAACGGTAATGAATTTGCTAAGGCACACGGCAGATTAAAATTTCTCTCTCTCTCTCTCTCTCTCTCTCTCTCTCTCACACACACACACACACACACACACACACCCTCGGTCTTTGCACACAAAGAAGACCACAATTGTAGACTCCCAAGTAATTATTTGGTAGGCTGGCTATTCCTGCTTTGCCAACACAGGGCACTGTGCTATTCACTGGAGGACGACAACATTTGACAGGTCGGCTGGCTTGCCGTCCTGATCTTCCCACTCTGAGGCAGATGCCAGCAACAGGGCCAGCCTGCCAAATTAGCGAATTGGCATTGACTGTAAAAGCAGGAAAGGACCTTGCATTCCCAGTCGGGCCACTACACATGCCAAGGTACATAGGGGAGATGGCAAAAGGCATATGCAGCTCAAGGAAAGAAAACCTCAAGCAGGCTACTCCACCAAAACAAAACAAAAACCACAACACAATTAAGAGTTCATCTTCCTTCTGCTTATTTACACTAAGGAATCTAGTACCATCCATTGAATTCCATAAAGCAGGGATCCCCAACCTGCGGCCCGCCAGATGTTTTTGCCTACAACTCCCATGATCCCTAGCTAACAGGACCAGTGGTCAGGGATGATGGGAATTGTAGTCCAAAACATCTGGAGGGCCAAAGGTTGGAGATGCCTGCAATAAAGGAATAAATGACCAGCTTTGGCTTGGAAACTTGGTCATTATTTCTACAGCATAGTACCCTTTTTTTTTATGCCGGGGTGAGTTTTTCCCCCTGTTCTGTGTTGTTAGAATCAAGTGGCAGCCAAACAAATGCTATATGCAGATGATATTTCATTATATGTAAGACACATATAATTGAAATTAGCTAAATTCTGGACTCTAGGTCTTGTTTCTCTTCAACACCAATTTAAGAAGGCCTTTGTTCACCTAGCGGCAAATTTAAAGCATAGTCCACCTTTTTTCAAGACGTTGCCTCCTTTTCCTCTGCATACTTACATTTACATATATGTTGGATATGATAAAACACTAGATTATCAGATGTAAGTGATGAGCAGAGTCCTTTTTCAGGTAATTAGTTCAATGTTTAAGCTTCTTCTTTCTTAGAGCTGCTGTGCTAAAAATGCGATACAAATAGCTTTAGCCCTGTAGGGCAGGTCTTAATATTCTTCTAAGGATACTTCATGCCTTTATTCTTTTGAGCAAGGAGATCAGATAGATATATCATAGAGTCGTAGAGTTGGAAGGGACCCTGAGGGTCATCTAGTCCAACCCCCAGTAAATGCAGGAATCTCAATGAACATATTGTCTCTTGCAAAGTATGGTGTGAGTTTCTTGAAGCGTCGTGTATACACATAGTAGCTACAAGTAAAGGATGTGATTTGAGGAAGAATGGACAAATAATGGCACAAGACTGACTCGACTCTCTGTCTCTCTCTCTATATATATATATACACACACACACTGCATGTGAATCTCTGTTGCTCAGATCAAATGTTAATATTTACTTTTATTCATTTGTCTGGATTTTTAAAGGTATGGACAGAAAGGCAAAGCCATAAGGATAGAGCGGATTGTCTATACGGGGAAAGAAGGCAAAAGTGCCCAAGGATGTCCTATAGCTAAATGGGTAAGCCTTTTCCGCACTTGATCATATAAAATATATTTTTTAAGTTTAAGAAAGAATACTAGTATTTATTTGCTGTAAATATGCAAATCATTTTAAAAGAGAATATTACCATTTTGATTTTTTTTTAAGCCTCTGACCTAGGATAGATGTCAAAAGAGGTATTATAACTTTGAAATGAGTTTATATATATAAAAAAATACCTAAACACAGACTGTATCTCAAAGTTCATGGCTGCCCAATCATGCAAAATTTGCAAAACAAAATGTATACAAAGATGAAATGTAACCTAGTAATAGTACTGGACTGAGCTAAGGAAAGTCTAGTATTTTGAAAATGTACCTCCAATTAAAGGCCTCCCAAAGTTGGGAAATGCCTTGTATTTATTTAGGGTGCTGATCCATCTAACCCAGTCTTGTCTGTTCTGATTGACATCTATCTAATATCTCAGGCAGGGGTCTTTCCCAGCCGTACTTTGAGATCACAGGGATTGAACCTAAAACCTTCTGCGCACAACACTGCAGTAAACTGTGCTACAGGCAGACTGGATATGAGCATAAATGTCTTCCTTAAACAGACATTCTATCATATTTTGCATCTCACTAAAAACCAGAAAACTTCTTTGGGGGTTGTATTTGCAGGTGATTCGTAGAAGTAGCACTGAAGAAAAACTCCTTTGTTTGGTACGGGAACGTGCAGGCCACAGCTGTGAAACAGCAGTGATAGTAGTGCTTATCTTGGTGTGGGAAGGAATTTCTCGAAGCCTAGCAGACAAGCTGTATTCCGAACTCTCCGAAACTTTAAGGAAGTATGGCACGCTAACAAACCGTCGCTGTGCTCTAAATGAAGAGTAAGTGAAGTATGTACTTGTTTCTCTCAAAATGTGATCTTGCTATAACTTGGATGCCTAGATTTAAGAAACAATAATTCTGACTAAAGTCATGCATCCTATGTTCTTTTCATGTTTTTAGCTGACATCAGTCATTGGTCTCACTGAAGTTATTGTCCTTATGTTGTCAGTAACCAAGAAAGTTGTCTTTGTTTAAAAGAGAGCCCATTTCACCTCCCTTCTATCATTGCCACAGTTCCCATCACGTTCAGTTCTGTAGCACACCCCTTTTGGGACTATGCCATGACAATATGCATGAGTGGTTGGAGTCTAGTTCCATGTCTACCATGATTCTTTTAATGTTCCTTGCTGCATCAAAGTTCTTGCAACAAATTCTGCCCAGTACACAGAGTTCCATATAGGGAGCAAGCTTCATTTGTGGTGCCTAGCTCAATAAAGTTACCCAGTCTGCATACCTGCCATACATTTAAAACACATTTTCCCCTCTACACAAAAAAGGATATTGGGAAGTTTGTTGGGGTGCTGGGAACTGCAGCTCTGGGAAGGGTAGACTACACTTCCCAGGATTCTTAGTGGGAGGAGAATGTATTTTTAGTGTATTGTGTTTTTGCAGCCCCAGTCATATTATGAAGACAACTTCCTGTTGGGTGTTCCCCTCCCACTTTTCCTAAGGAACTCATATGGTTTCATGGAAATGTATTCCAATAGACATAATAATAATAATTTATTATTTATACCCCACCCATCTGGCTGGGTTTCCCCAGCCACTCTGGGCGGCTTCCAACATAATATTAAAATACAATAATCTATTAAACATTAAAAGCTTCCCTAAGACATAAATTGTCTTTCCAAATTAGCCCTTACTATGTGTTTATTATACATCTTCAGTGCCCTGAATAGCTACACCAGAGGTCTGCAACCTTTAAGACAAAAAGAGCCACTTGGACCCGTTTCCGAAGGGGGAAAAAACTGGGAGCCACAAAACCATTGTGACATTTAAAGCATGTGCGCCGCTGCCCTCCGATCTGACAGCGGGCGGGAAGGTGACGTCGGGACGGTGCGTGACTAACGCATGCACCACCCCCATGCGACGTCACAGCCAGTACAGCGCCCGCCACAGTGGGGAGTGTCGGGGCGCACAATGCGCCTCCTCCCCTCGCTAGTATCCGCCCCGGAGCCACGGCAAAGGTGTAAAAGAGCCACATGCGGCTCTGGAGCTGCGGGTTGCAGACCCCTGAGCTACACAGTTTTAGTGAGACAGGTGGGATTATTGTATGGCTCATCTGGCCATGTGCTTTGGTGGCTTTTAACAAGACCCATTGCAATACCAACAAAGACAGGACCATAGAAGACCAATAAGAATACCCTATAGCAAGGTACCTCTTTCCAAGGCATGGCAAAAATGGTGTACTGGGTTTGCACGACTGGCCCAGTTGTATTAGAATTTTGTGAATATGTAGGGTTGGCTCCAGCATGGCCTTTCCACAAACAGGTGAGGTCCTTCTGTTTGCAGAAGGGTTTTTTGATCTGCAGGTCCTCCTACAGATGGAAAGAGATGGAGGTGATTTGGGGCCATTCTCCTTTCCCTCTGCAGCCCCCCAGCAGGCTTGTGCCCATAATGTTCTGGGTGTCTCGCAAACCACTGGGATAAAATTTGGGAAGTGGAGGTGTTGCAGGAGGAGAGTCAGTAGACATCACCTTACTGCCTTCTATCAGCTGAAGCATTTCATGAGTGTCCCACCACGCATGGGATCTCTGGACCTATTCAATATAATTCAGAGCTAAGGTGCCTTCCTTTGGTTTCCATTTTTTAATAAAGTAATTATTTACAGTGCAATACTATGTATGAATACACAGAAACAAGTCCCATTGAGTTGAGTGGTACTTCTTCACAGTATGTATGGAATTGCAACCTTAATGTGAACTGCTGGTTTTCAGAAGCTTGTAAGGAAACCACTTTCATACACACACACACACACACACACACACACACACACGTGTAGAAGGTTGCTGTTTTGCTTCTGTATCAAATATCTATAGATGAAGGTAGAACACAAGCAATTGACTTCACTTACAGCCACTCTTGGTATTACTAAAGGCTTTTCATAGAAGGTGATCAGTTGGCTGCTGTTAGCTCTGGTTGCAACAATATCATGGCCAAGACTTCCCTAGACACATGGACAAAGGGCGGCTCTCCTTTCCTACAAACTTTTATTAAAGGCCTGTTGAAGGGTTCTTCAGGGAGTGCAGAAGTTGGGCTTAGTGCATATAGCCGCAAAAACATTATGATGTGTAAGAAAAATTCCAGGCAGGGCTTCTTTGCAGGTGTCCACACTATGCTTTTAAAGTAAAGGTAAAGGTACCCCTGCCCATACGGGCCAGTCTTGACAGACTCTAGGGTTGTGCGCCCATCTCACTCAAGAGGCCGGGGGCCAGCGCTGTCCGGAGACACTTCCGGGTCACGTGGCCAGCGTGACAAGCTGCATCTGGCGAGCCAGAGCCACACACGGAAACGCCGTTTACCTTCCCGCCAGTAAACGGTCCCTATTTATCTACTTGCACCCGGGGGTGCTTTCGAACTGCTAGGTTGGCAGGCGCTGGGACCGAGCAACGGGAGCGCACCCCACTGCGGGGATTCGAACCGCCGATCTTTCGATCGGCAAGCCCTAGGCGCTGAGGCTTTTACCCACAGCGCCACCCGCGTCCCTACACTATGCTTTTAGGTTGCTACAAATGCAGTTCTTTCCTTTCTTAGGCGAACTTGCGCATGCCAAGGCCTGGACCCCGAGAGTTGTGGCGCATCGTTTTCCTTCGGCTGCTCGTGGAGTATGTACTACAATGGGTGCAAGTTTGCCAGAAGCAAGATCCCAAGGAAGTTTAAACTATTGGGGGATGATCCAAGAGAGGTAGGGACTAAATAGGTGGCATGTGTGGCACTCTCCGAAGCATTTCTATTCTAGTTGTGGTAGCTGCTCCCAGACTTTGGAACCCCCACCCTAGAGGTGTTAAGACGGGCTCCCTTGTTGTTGTCCTTCTGCCAGCAGGTGCAGGTGTTCTTGCTGGAACTGACTGCTTTGAATATAAAGGCTGGTGCTTTCTTATTGTAATCCTTTGCATGGTTTTAATAGATTATATAGAGTTTTTTTATAGTTTTTATTAGGAATTTCAACATAACAAATTATCAAAAACATATCATCTTCATGCCCCCCCATTTTTCCCTCCCCAAGATAAAACCATCCCTCCCCTTCCCCCGCAGACTTCCCTCAGCTCCTCTCTCCGGTATTTCAACACGTATTATTCTCTGCATATTATAAAATTGTAAAGATCCTTAAATTATCTACCTATTATGTTAATCCTATCCATGTTTAATTGTTTTTAAATTATTGGTCCCCCCCTCCCTATGATTTTAGCTGTTTTTGTTTTTATCAGTAAGCTGCCTTGAGTCTTTGTCAGGGAAAAGGGTTGGGAATGAATGAATGAATGAATGATAAGATAAGACTCAATTTTTTAAAATGACTCACAGTGTCAGATGATGGTCTTAAGTTTTGTCAAAGTACAACATTCCACCCTAGAATAGCATTTATTTCTAAGTGTTTCCATCTACCTCTTCTGTCTGACACAGGAAGGTGAGGAACCTTTCTGAAGTCAGGGGCTGCATTCCTTTAGGGGGAAGTGGACAGGGCCTGAATGCAGGTAATGGGTGGACTCAAAGTCACATGTGAGCAGGATACCCTTTCCCTCCCTCCTTCCCCTTCTCATGCACAGAAACACACTTTTCATCTTTTCTCCATTCCCCCTTCATTCATTTTTTAAGCTGCCAAGCCAGCAGTTTCCCTGGTTCATTTGCAAATTCAAAATTCCTCTGTTTTATAACCTTAACTTTCCTCTGTGTTTCCCCAATTTACTAGCATTGAATACAGTGGTACCTCGCAAGACGAATGCCTCGCAAGACAAAAAACTCGCTAGACGATAGGGTTTTTTGTTTTTTGAGCTGCTTCGCAAGACGATTTTCCCTATGGGCTTGCTTCGCAAGACGGAAACGTCTTGCAAGTTTGTTTCCTTTTTCTTAACACCGTTAATACAGTTGCGACTTGACTTCGAGGAGCAACTCATAGAACGCGGTGTGGTAGCCTTTTTTGAGGTTTTTAAAGACTTTGGTGATTTTTGAAGCTTTTCCAAAACTTTCCCGACACAGTGCTTCGCAAGACAAAAAAATCGCAAGACAACAAAACTCGCGGAACGAATTAATTGCGTCTTGCGAGGCACCACTGTATTGTATCTGCAATAACTTTATTGCAATATCTCTGTTCCATCTCCCCTTTTTTTGGCTTGTAATGGATAATTAGGACTACAATATAAACTTAATACAGTTGAATGTTAACACGCGAAATCTCTCCTTTACTGAAAAACAGGAAGAAAAGCTGGAGTCCAATTTGCAAACTCTCTCAACTCTGATGGCACCCACTTACAAGAAACTGGCACCTGATGCGTATAACAACCAGGTAGGGTAAAAATGGGTGGGGTGCTAGTTATCAACACTAAAAGAACCTGATTTATTTTGCAATCACATTAAGTTTCATTATAATAATAAGTCTTTGGCAGAGACCTTGGGAATCTGAAGTTTAAAAAAAGCTTGAAAGCCATCTTTAGAGTGCATTTAAACACCACATGCTTCTTATTTTAGAGTAATTAGTTAGAAATAGCTACTACTCCTAAGATCACTGTGTGCTGTGACTAATGCAAATTAGAATTGTTGTAAATGTACTTAGGATAATGGAGGAAAGTGGGATAAAAATTACTTCTAATTATGTGAAGCCAAACAATGGATGAAACATGTTAAGGAGTTATTTGGGACCTCTTCTGATCTTGTATTGAAAGTAATGGCCAAATCCCCAAGAAAGACTTCCCCAGGACTTCCCAAGGTTCAGATCTTTCCCACACCAGAATTCCTCAGCTTCTGGCAGCAGTTTGCCTTGCGTGTTCTTCATGGCACTGATTGCAGTGGTCCAAAAAATTAACTCTGCTAGTAAACTGAGGTTGGGATTTTTTCATTTCACACAGTACAATGTCACTCCATGAGATGCTCCTTATATACTTTGAACTGCCCCAATACATTGATTACAACACACATCTAATACTATCCCATAATCTCTATTAAATAGATTTTTTAAAAAAATCCATCAAATTCTGCACAAAAGTGGCATAGGAGCCACCTCCTAGGGGCCGAGGTCCCTTCGTCCCTCCCTAAAATATTTGAAGGGCCCGAGGCTCCTGCCCCAGAGTTGATGTGCATTGCCATTCAAGTGGTGTGCATGCACCACATCCCATGTTCGATTATGTGAGGCAGGGCTTACCTGGGCCCCTCAATATTTTATTCAAGTTGGCACCCCTGCAATGTGGGAACCCAAAGACTGGGGCTCTTTCATGCTGCTGATTCTTTCCTCCTGTACAGTCATACCTCGAGTTGAATGCGCTTCAGGTTGAGCGCGTTCGAGTTGCACTCCGCAGCAACCTGGAAGTAACGGAGCTCATTACTTCCGGGTTTCGCCGCTCACGCATGCGCAGACGCTCAAAATGATGTCACACGCATGCGCGGTAGCGGCGAAACGCAACCCGCGGATGCGCCGTCGCGTCTTGCATTCCGTTCGGGATGCGAACGGGGAATTCTTCATCTGTTACTGCAGTGACCGAACAAATCATACTTTCTTGTTTTCTCCTGGCTCCTTGAACCACCGGGAGGGGAGGGAGAGATTCCTCAGGCTTGACATGGCATGTAGAAAGCCCACTAACAAAATTACAGTTTCTTGTAAGCTGCAACAAGCACCTTTTTTAAAAAAAAGTTTAAGCAGGCTTCCTAGCTGCTGCAGAAAGCAGTGCCACTGGCATTCTCCAGGTCACCTCACCCAGAATGCATTGCCAAGCCTACCTGCCCAGTAATGAGTTAAGGAGGAGGTCCAAGGGAGCCAGTTTGCCACTTCCATATGCCTGACATCATTGTCTCATTCTGCCTCCTCATTGGGCCATCCCTGAGGTCTTATACTTGGTAGTTCATTAGCAGTGCTGACTTCAGGGAGTCTGGTGGTCTTCCGTCACTGTCTTTGCCCTACAAGGTTTTGACTTCAACGCTGTAATGGATATACCCCCATATACTTGGCCCCTGCACTCCACATGACAAATCAAAATAATCCAGCTAGGTCAAAAAAAATTCAACACAGCTGAGGCTATGATTTCCTCTGGGGTAATACAGCATTTTTAAATTAGACTATTTTAGTAATGCGTGTGTGCGCTTGTTTTGTTTCAGATTGAATATGAACACAGAGCACCCGAGTGCCGTCTGGGTTTAAAAGAAGGCCGTCCGTTCTCAGGGGTCACTGCCTGCCTGGATTTCTGTGCTCATGCTCACAGGGACCTGCATAATATGCAGAATGGCAGCACACTGGTAAGTCAGTGGTGCATGCAGCCGTACTCATGCAGAACTAATTTCCTCTATTAAGTTCATTATTTTTTCATAATCTGTATTTCTATTAAATTGGCACATGATGGCTTTTGGGGGGGGGATAGGGAGAGAGAACGACAAAATGCTTATATGAAGAGGAATGTGAAGCCCTCCAGACTTTTAATTAAAAGATGATGGAGATTCCCAGGGTTCATTCTTAAAATCCTTGCTCCTAGCCTTGCTTTTATTATACACAGTGAAACAATATAAGACTAGGAGAGCTCAAGAGCTATGTGGTTATAATCAGCTCCTGAATGGGAAATTTAACTTGCAAAAAGTGCAGAATCTGACATCTTCATTTGAATCCTGAGACTCTTAAAGTTCCCAGCTGGAGGCAGAGGGAAGCACATTCCTTTAAAGCTGAGAAAACCAAAGGACTTTCTCAGAAATTCGTGTGCTTCAACTCCCAACAGCTTGTTTTGGGTATGCCAACTAATCCAGTGTCCCTTCTCTCCCTTTATCACTACGGGTCCTCAGTAAACCTTCTAAAGACAGCCAGGGTGGTGTAGTGGTTAGATTGTTGGACTAAGACCCAAGAGACCAGGGTTCAAATCCCCACTGGGTGACTTTGGGCCAGTCACACATTTTCAGCCTGTCCTACCTCACAGGGTTGTTGTGAGGTTAAAATGAAGAGGGGGAGAACCATGAATGCCATCTTCAGCTCCTTGGAGGAAAGGTGGGATATAAATGTAATAAATAAATCCATCAATAGTTCTCGAGTGGGTGCCGGAATGGCACTAGGTGGGTGTTGCTATGCTTCAGTCATTTGAAGAGGCAGATATGTCACCCTTGACTAGATGTGAGCTCCTCCCCTTTCTTGGACATCACTTTGCTCTCTGACTCACCTGAAGATCGGTCATATTTCACCACTGCTGTTGTGGCCCCCACTCTCTCAGTCTAACCTGCTTCACAGAGCTGTTGAGAGAATGCCACCTTGCCCTTGTTGCAGAAAAGATGGAATAATAAAGCAAATAAGGTCATGCCATACGACAGACCTTTGTGTTCTTGCCATGCTAGGAGGACATTCCTTGTTTTAACAGGTCTGTACACTAACCAGAGAAGACAATCGTGAAATTGGCCAGACGCCCGAAGATGAGCAATTGCATGTGCTCCCTTTGTACAAAATCTCCAACGTGGACGAGTTCGGAAGTGCAGAAGGTCAGGAAGAGAAAAAACGGAACGGCAGCATCCAGGTCCTTAGCTCCTTCCGGAGAAAAGTAAGGATGCTTTCTGAGCCAGTTAAGACTTGCCGGCAAAAAAAGTTGGAAGCTAAGAAAGCAGCCACTGAGAAGCTTGCTGCTATGGAAAATGGGTCAAGCAAACACGAGAGAGAGAAGTCGAACGCAGCACGCCAAAAGCAGGCCATCTCAGAACCATCGGGTCATGCAAAGCAGTTAGCAGGTATGGTTTGTAATGAGTACGCACCATGGTTCATGGTTCTATTTCCTGTGCTGTTTGTATTATTTACACTCAAGATAAGGGTGAGGCAGGTTAGGTGGCAGGCAGTGCATGTGTTCAGCTTTTAGTGTCTTCTATAGTTCAGTGAACAACCTCAAAATATATGTAGGCGACGTTTCAGTTATTTAAGGTATTTGTATACTGCCTTTCCTTACACCAAAGTGGTGTTTGATTCAAGCTATAGACCTCAACCCATAGTTGTTTAAACATACTTGCTTATACCAATTCAGGAAATGTGTTCTTCTCCATCGCCTAATAATGCCTATTTTGACTGGCAGCAGCAGCTTTCCTGAAGCATTCACCTGATGTGCAGATGGAGGCAGCCGATGGGCCACCCAGCAATTCCATTGCCTTTTCCTTGATAAAGCATGTGAGAAGTATGTTAGAAGTAAATAATTCAAGAGGTTATTTAGGGCCAATCTTACTGTGATCTTAAACATATATATATATTTAAAAATGCATCTAGTGGGAGCTTTCATTCCAGTGTAAGTAGCGTCATTTGAGAGGGGAGCTTTTAAGGTTTATGTTGTCCTTCCCCACCTATTACAGCTACCCTGGGGGAGAATAGCAATAATGCATTTAACATATACATTTTGGCCCTTAGGTTTCTATCTGAATGGGCCTCTTGAATAAGTATGAAGACTGAACAACCTCTTAGTGCGCAGAAATGCCCTTACAGCCTTCAGGGTTCCTATTTTTTTTCTGTGGGCAAACAAGACATAAGCTGCAAAAAGCTGTGTGTATACAATCTCCTAAGGATGTTCTTTCCCTAGCCATGTCAAGCACGGAGAAATACAAACAGTGGGGTTCTTCTTGTTTAACTTTTCCTTGCTTACTTTCTTACTCTCACAAGACAAACCGTACTTAACAACTTGCTAGGCAGAAGGGTTTGGGGTGGTTGTGTTGCACTTAACATTGTGGAGGTCACAGACAGTTCATTCCAGAGAAAAGCAAGCAGTGGGGCTTTCTTCTCTCCTGCAGCCTCCATGAGTCCTTGAAAACCACCTCTGAGAACTGGGAGATGGAGGGCCCAAGCACTACCTACAGGCTTTATATAAGCATCCGGTTGGCCATTGTGGGAATAGGATCAGGGACGCGGACTTATAAAAAATATTGGGGGGGCCCGGGAAAGCTCATGAATAATAAATAAGCTCATGAATATGCAAATAAAGTGGCGCCGCCTCCTCGTGAGCGAATAGGGGAGAGCGTGCTGCGCCTATTAATCAGCTCCAAAGGAAATTGGGTGGAGCTTTTGCTCGGGAGGGAGGGCAGGAGGCATGCAGCCCGCCCCTCCCTGTGCATTTTGGGCTGGGGGAGGGGCGGCGATGGCGCTCTGCTGGAGGGGCGCCGGAGATTATTGGGGGGGCGGAGCCCCCCCAAACGAATTTTTGAGGGGGCTCGGGCCCCCTCAAGCCCCATGGAGTCGGCGCCTATGAATAGGATGTTGGGATAGATCAGGTCCAGGCAACCTAATGCCCACGGGCCGGATGCGGCCCAATTGCCTTCTCAATCTGGCCCGCGGACAGTCCAGGAATCAGCATGTTTTTACAGGAGTATAATGTGTCCATTAAAATGCATCTCTGGGTTATTTGTGGGGCATAGGAATTCGTTCATTTCCCCCCAAAAAATATAGTCTGACCCACCACATGGTCAGAGGGATGGTGGACCGGCCCATGGTTGAAAAAGGTTGTTGACCCCTGGGATAGATGGTGTGACCTGGCAAGGGGTGATCTTATGGTACGTTCTTAGGGCTGTGCTGGGAAGAAGCAGCATCCCTGCTTTCTCTTCAATAGATGGAAAAGGCACAGAAAAAGGCAGCCAAAATTATCAAGGGTCTAGAACAACTTACCTATGAGAAAAGGTTGCTCATTTGGGGGAAGTTTGGGCTTAGAAAGAAAGCAAGGAAAGAAAGTCAAGATTATAAGTGGTGTGGAGAGAATGACTAGGGAGATCTTCTCCCACTCTCATAATGCTAGAATCCAGAGTGAAGCTGAATGTTGGGATCTTCAAGACAAACAAAAGAATGTACTTATTCACATAGCACAATGGTTCCCAATTGGTGGTCCACAAACCCCAGGGGGGTCCACAGAACCCACTTAGGGGGTCAATGGCACCATTCGCATATCAAAAACTGCCATAGATATCTCAAAATATCTTTGAATATCTCAAAAGTAGGAGGTCCACGGCTTGGCTTTTGAAAAATAAGGGGTCCACACTACTTAGTTAATTGGGAACCAGACATAGCATATGGCTTGAGTTATGGAATTAACAAATGTAAGATTTGGTGATTGCAACCACCAGCAGGTTTAAAAGGGAATTGGGCTGTGTACACACTGCTCTTTATAACCAGTGTGCTCTCATTGCTGATTTGGGAAGTGGTATGTGCATGACATTAGCCATAATCCATAGCTATCCTGCTGTTTGTTATGAAATTCTGCATAATCATGCATTCTCTCTAAATCAGCTTAGATCATAATTGAGAAAAAGATCTTCAGTAGGGCTATCTTTTTCTCCCCTCCCCCTTTTCTTCCCCAACTTTGTATTGCATATAACGCCAATGTCTCACAACAAATGTAATTGAAATGTAGAAAACACAACCTGGAAAAAGAGACAATGCACACACTTTTGTAAACGAAGAAAATCTTTAATGAAAATTGTTTTTTTAAAAAAGAGAGAGAGAGAGAGCAGCCTAGCTGGCAATGCGTGCACAGCCTTAGATACACTGATAAGGCTATCAGTTGCTCCTGGTCACGATGGTGAAATGTTATCTCCAGTATCCAAGACAGCATGCGCCTCTTGAATAACAGTCACCGAAGAGCACAAGTAGGAGAATGCTATTGTCTCCTTATTCTGCTTGTGGGATTTCCACGGGCATCTCATTGGCCACCGTGAGAACAAAATATTGGAGCAGATGGGCCTTTGGACTGACCCGTGGTGGTATTATTTATGTTCTTAATAGCAGGGGAGAACTCTCCTGTGCTGAGCTGCACCAACATCTTTGAGGGGTTGGAGTAGCAGTGCCTCTCCTAATACACAAGAAGCCAGAAAACATTTCCTGTACCTGTGATAATTGGTGTTCTTACCTCCTAAAGCTATTTCTTCCCCTCTCTCTTTCCCCTTCCACAGATCTGTTACGTCTTTCAGGACCAGCCATGTCACAGCAGAAACTCTACCAACATCCACATCATGCCCTCCCTACTAAACCTCAGTCAAACCACATCAACTCATACACTGCTTCAGGTCCCACAAACCTCTACATGGGTTTGCCAAATCCAGCCAACCCATATCCAAACTCTTCACATGCCTCAGATCCTTATGGTGGGTCCAGCCCCATGAATATCTACCCAACGTCTTCGCAACCTGCAGGAGCCTATTTGAATTCTCCTGGTCTCGTGAATCCCTATTCTGTACACTTGGGTCAAAATAACCAATATCCCCATTATCAATGCAACGGAAACTTGCCTCTGGATAACTGTTCCTCCTACTACAACTCCTATTCGTCTCAGCCTCAGCATATGGACTTGTTTAGGTATCAGAGCCAAGACTCTCTATCTAAGCTAAGTCTACCTCCAATTCATACATTATATCAGCATAGGTTTGGAAACAACCAGAACTATGGGCCCAGGTACTTGAACTATGGAAACCAAAATGTGCAGGTAGATGCGCTCAACAGTTGCACAATTAGACCAAATATTCAGCATGCAGGTTCCTTCCCTCCTTACCCCACACATGAGGCTGAAGGTCCTTTTATGGACATCGCCTCTAGACTGAAATCAAATCTAAATAATCCAAGTGTGGACTACATGAATAAAAATGGCGACCATCTCTACCCCCCTCCACACTTAACACATGACTACCACCCTGCCGCCGGTATGCTCAGTGGCCCTGCTCATCCACTCCACCTCCAGAACAAAAATAACCAAAATGGGTTGTCAAACATGCTTCCAGGTCTTAACCACAATCGGACTGCTTCCCAAGAAGGCGCAAATAAAACTGAGGTGCTCCCGCCAGAAGATCCCGATGACGTCTGGTCAGACAATGAGCAGAGCTTTCTGGATCCAGATATAGGTGGCGTGGCGGTCGCCCCCTCGCACGGGTCAATTCTCATAGAGTGCGCGAAACGTGAGCTCCACGCGACGACCCCGCTGAAGAACCCTAACAGGAACCACCCCACAAGGATATCGCTCGTCTTCTACCAGCACAAAAGCATGAACGAGCCAAAGCACGGCCTAGCTTTGTGGGAGGCAAAGATGGCGGAGAAGGCAAGGGAGAAAGAGGAGGACTGCGAAAAGTACGGTCCGGATTATGTGCCTCAGAAAGTGCATGGCAAAAAAGTGAAGCGGGAGCCGGCTGAACTGAATGAGAATTTGGAGCCAACCTACATGCGTTTCATCAGGTCTCTTGCACAAAGGACTATGTCTCTCACCACAAACTCCACAGTTACCACATCTCCATATGCCTTTACACGGGTTACAGGGCCTTACAACAGATATATATAAACATCAGATCTTTGTTCATTACCTCATCTGTTTTTTGGTTGTTTTTTATGTTGGTAGGTAGTCGTTCTTTTTAGGCTGGAGACAAGGGAAAAGGGCAAGAGACAGTATTTTTTTTTTCCTTTTCTTTTTAGCTTGTCAATGGGAAAACCTCCTTGTACCAGCAAAAGAGGTAACATTGCCACCACATTCATTTGGTAACTGGTCACAGGTAACACATTAACAACTAAAAACCAAAGCACCCTATGCAAATTTAACGTTGAAATACTGGCTTGACTACTTACTGGAAGACAGAGAATCTGTATGCATAACCTTTAAAATTTTTACATCTGTGACCATTTAAACGAAAGCAAGTTAATTAAGAGAAGTTTGTTTTTAAAGTAAAAATACTGTAGTATTTCAGTAGCAAAAATTTTAAATTACCAACTGGTGCTGAATCTATGATGTGCTGAAATACTGGAAATGCAGCTTTTTAACATGCAGGGGTTTGCATGTTGCTGTAATCTTAATCTTGACTTGATTTTTATTAACCAGGATAGCGACATATATTACATGAAGAATACGAAGCAAAACACTGAATTTGTTTGGCTATTCTAAAACATGGTGCTATGTATAAGAATGGTGTCTAATGCAGCAGCTGAACAGTTTTAATGCCTTTTATAACCATGAAAACGTTAAAAAGTATGCTGTGCTCTCCTTAAACAGCAAACAGGACCTTTTTTATTTTTGTGTTTGTATCCAAACTGTATTTGTTTGTAATCTGGTGCTTAAAAGAAAATAACACCCAGTTTTTAAAATATGGGAATTGTGGTCAGGCAGGACTAAGATCCAGCAAAGCTTATATATGAGCAGTTGGGTGACTTTGTGTGAAGCTCTCTGGAGCTTTTCGTTATAGTTGGTTGCATGGGCAAAGAAGCAAAAGCAACATTTTAAACTGAAACTTCCATTGCTGAAAAGGCAGACTGCTGTTCAAAGACAGCACCCAGACAGCAGCCTCTTTGGGACATAACACTAAGACATTGTTTACTGTACATGAATGAGCAGAATCAAGCCTTGGGTTTGCATGCTCTTCTCCATGGGTATAGCCAGTGTGGCCCCTGCCCACCCCCCAAATCAAGTACAGTGGTACCTTGGTTGTCAAACTTAATCTGTTCTGGGAGTCCCTTTGACTCCTAGAATGGTTCAGAAACCAAGGTGTGGCTTCCGATCAGCTGAAGGAGCTTCCTGCACTCAACCGGAAGCTGTGGAAGCCCTTCGGACGTTTGGCTTCCAAAAAACGTTCACAAACTGCAACACTCGCTTCCGGGTTTGCGGCGTTTGGGAGCCAAAATGTCTGAGTACCAAGGCGTTTGACAACCAAGGTATGACTGTAAATAATACTTAACTCAAAGTAGAAAGAATCAGAATATTTGAAATTGAAATGCTCCCTGAGGTGCCACTATCTCCCTCCCTAGAAAAAGTCATTGTGAGCAATTCACTAAGGCTAGGTTAGATGCTATATGGGTAGGGTTATGTTATCAATGCACTACCACAGCACTGGAACATGCCATGTTGCTCCCTCAGACACGGTGAGAATGGGATGCTGAAAAATATGGCCCATTGGCTTGATTTCACAGGCTCTTCTTATGTTTCTGTATTCTTAGTTCTCACTTTTAATTCCTAGCCCATCCCTTCCTCTGGCTTGCTATATTTCTGCTGGAAATATTGGGTTTTAAAAAAAATTTCTTGGTGGCTCTATGTTTCAGCAAGGAGCCTTACAATCTATTGTGCAGAGACGGAATAGCATACTGCTGACTAAAGTAAATTGAGTGATAAAGGCAAAAATCAAGGGTTTGGGTCATCTAGAAAGACCCCTCAGCCCGAAAGCCCTTAGGCTGCATGCCCATATAAGCTCTGTTGGATCTCATTTGAATGCATCCATCATGTCAAGGCCTGATTAAGGAGAAAAAATAATAGAAATGTGTGGGGTTGTTTTGTTTTATTTAATGGTGCTTGAAAAGTACTTTGTCTGCCTGAAGCATTGGCAAACAACACTGGGGTACTAAAACATGTTAGAAGCTTATTTTATCTTTGGGGCAAATCCATGTAAAAGAGCCCCGATACTATGCTTTTTCAAAACTAAAAATGGGAGGGGCAATTTCAGTCTTGAGAAGTAGCAGAGGAGAGTGGTTATCCCTTTCCCTGCAGCATCCTTTTCCTCTCCCCCACCCCACTAAAAATAGGGGTTGAGACTATGTAGATAAGCCTCTTACTTAAACATCTACTGGTGTACAAGAGGAACATCCGCTTTTAAAGGCAGAATCACGCTTGGGTTGAATGGATGCAAGGCATTGCCTTTACAACACACTCTGCCCCCCCCCCAATCTTCCAATTCCTTGGTGCTCATCTTACACAGCTGTACTGTGAACATGTTTTTCTTTACCATTACGATGACGCGTGTTATCCCTCAAATCGTATATACATTTTGTTTTTGTTTTTGTTTAATATTAGCTTCAGATAATTAACAGCATGGGTTAGACTTGATAATTGTGTAGTTTAGTCTACTTTTTTTCTTTTAAGGATCCATAAAAGTTCTCCAAATAGCTGGGCAGACTGAGGTGTTCAATGGATTATTTATGTTACAGTATACGTCACACTGCTCAGTGTAAGGTGGCCATCTTCACTAGGAAGGTTTGAGTAGAATCAAGACACGAGATACAGGGTTATTCTGTGCGATTCTGTCGGTGGGGGGGGAAAGGATACAGAACAGGCAGCTGGCTTGCTGTGGCGGGTTTTTAAATTGGTAATTTGTATTAAACAAAATGCAAGCAAAAGAAATGTATAGTAAGTAACTTAACTTGTAAACAATTTTTTTTAATGCTTTAGTATTTTAATACTGTACAAATATATAAATATAAATCTATTATATATCTAGATATATATATATATATACATAGATATGCAGGTTTTGGTGTCCTCGGGTGTCTTCCCGTGTAAAAGTTGGGGTGTCTAGGCGACGTTTCGACGAGGTCTCACTCGTCATCTTCAGGCTGGTGCTTTCGGCTTCTTGTTACTGGAACAGAGCAGGATCTCAGTGTTTGAGTTCCTATAAATACAGTTTATTTATATATATTTATAGGAACTCAAACACTGAGATCCTGCTCTGTTCCAGTAACAAGAAGCCGAAAGCACCAGCCTGAAGATGACGAGTGAGACCTCGTCGAAACGTCGCCTAGACACCCCAACTTTTACACGGGAAGACACCCGAGGACACCAAAACCTGCATTCCTATACCCGTGAAAATCTACGAAAGCAAATACATAGATATATATATATATGGGTTTGGAGCTGAATTCACATCACGGTGCTACTCAGCCTGCTATTAAAATATAATGTGATCTAAAAATACATTAAAATGTTTGAATGATGTTCCTACTTGTCATATACCTCAACACTAGTTGGCAATAGGATGTTAAATTGGGAGCGGAAGCTTATAACGTTGTTATATCACCTTCCCCTCCCTCTCTTCCCCCTGATTCTTTGAAAAATAAGATATTTTTTCTCTCTCACTCGCTACTTGATATTATAGCAAGTATAACTTGAACTTCGACTTTTTAATGTTTTTGTTCTAAAAATTCAGGGATATATCAGCTCATGATCTCCTTTGTAAGCCAACATATCATCCAAGTGTGTGAGAGAGTAGGGGTGAGAGTGAGTGTGCGAGAGAGGGTCTGTGCGAGAGAGAGAATATTGTGCGAGGGTGTGTGAATGTGTTGTGAATGTTGATCAAAATATTATCCTTGAGGGTTTTTATTTTATTCTACTCTATTCTATTGTTTGAGGATTCAATCTTTCTCTTTCTCTAATACTTGTAAATGTACTGATGGCGATTAAAGCTATATTTTGTGTAAATTCATCCGCTCCTTTATACAGTGATGAGAATGTTTTAACGTTTTAAACTCTGTTTTCTTCTGGGAGGGGTTGTATGGTCCAGTCACAAAATGGAAAGTAGAATGCACTGAGCGGTCAAAAGGGAAACTGTAAAACAGGGGAAGGGGGGAAGTTGGTTCCCCACCTGTCGCAGGACTACAACTCCCATGTGGGCTAGGGAAGATAGGAGCTGGCCACAGACTCCTCGTTCCTGTTGTGAAGTCAAGGATTTGGCAACTGACCATTTGCTAGAGGGTTGTGTGTTTCCAAGGAGATTAAAAGTTAATTGGCGGGAGCAGGAGCTGCGAGTAGGGAGATTAGACAATGTTATGAAGAATAAGTGGCTACTTCTAGTCAAGGTGACTCTATGCTGCCTCCAGGCAGAAAGGGCTTTTGCAGTCATGTCCTGTTTTTAGGATTCCCAGAGGCATCCGATTGGCTAATGTTGGTCTGATCAAGCAATGTTCTTCTTAGGACTTCTTGCTTTTTAAAAATGCAGACCTAATGCCTCAGTGTTTGGCTGGGGAATATATTATGAGGCAAAGACCCTGACCCATGAAACAAGTTGCTGCTTCACTCTATACATTGAATTGTCCCACCAATAGCACTGTGTGTAATTGGGCAACGTAAATATTGACCATTACAGGACCAGTGCCTGAATTTGGCCTTTTAAAAGCGGCATTATAATCACTGTTGGATGTTGGAGAACTGCAGTTAGAGACACCCCCTCCTCATTCTACTGCCAACACCACACTGTAAATACAAGTCCTTTTGAATATTTAACTTGGAAACAAATCTTTAACCTTTGCAACTTTAATTAATGAGCATCTTTGCAATCACCCAAAGCTGGGTGAATCTCGGAGACGTCAGCTAAGTCTGCTATGCTTTGCTGCATATGGAGGAGAAAAACCTCGTCAGTGATGATTCTCGACATTGCATTGAACCCAAACCAAACAGCCTCTGCTTGTGTGGAGCTCCACATGGGAGCTGCTGGTTCCACTTAATCAAACCATCTTCCAGTAATATCATGTTTTTCCATTTACCATTTCTTTGCTGACTTAAGGCGAGAAGTGCCGATTTTAAAAACAGGTTTTAGGTTGGATTCCAAAGAACAG